CCCATTCCATAGGTCAACCATCCTGTTATAAAAGTAAAAATGTTTTAGCTGGACACAACTCTCAAAAATTATATTTGTGTCTCCTTGTCCTACTATCTCACCATTAACTATGAAACAACATGATGCACAGACAATATCAATTCCTTAAAACACCTCAATCAGGTCCCCTATTAACACTTCTTTTATTCAAGATTTTTATTTGTTTTAATGGTGATAGAAAGGGTGGTTTATTTAGATTTTCATACAACTTTTGAACAGCTAATAGATGCTACATTGGTAAGGGTTGGAGAAAGACTAGTTAATTGGATTATAGGATTCTCAGATGGGAAAAAGAAAAAGGTTGTTATTAACCCTTTATCATCTCCACTCGTGAATTTATACATGCTAGACATCATTTCCACCTGTTTATATATCCCATATGTCTCACACACCATTTAAAGTGCCTCGTGCCTGATTTGTTGTAGTCAAAGCATTGCTACAGTAACGAAAAAGACCCTTCTATGGATGAAAAGGAGTTACTGGAGTCCAGTCAAACTAGGCCCTTGTTTCACAAAGAGTGCCTCAGAGGTCAGTGCCCCTCAGGCCATTGCTTTTTCATTTTAACAATACTGATAGTAACATAATTAGTAAATGTGGAAAGTTTGATGACGACATGAAACTCTGAGATATTTCCTGGTGTATTAAAGATGTTGAGGTATTCCAGAATGGCTTGACCCAATTATTCAACTTGACAAATATCTAGTAAATGACCTTTAATGACAGATAGATGGAAACCCACTCTATAACATGACTGAAGAAAAGAATCTTGACATCGTGGTGGATAAGCCAATGAAGCCATCAAAGTAACACTGTGGACAGTAGCAAAACTACAGTCACGTTGATTAGAAGCCAGAAGACTTAATTCTGTAGTTAGGCTTCACTTGCAGCACTGTGTACTGTTTTGATTTTTACCTAAGAATAGATATATGGTTTCTAGAATGATTCTGAGGAAGAAACAATTATCTTGTTTGATAGGAAATATAAAGACAGGTTAAAATCTAACGTATTTTGTCCTAAGAAAAAATGTCACCGAATATTATCACAGGGATTGATAAAAAGTCTACGTTCTCACTTATAAATATTTTACAAAAATTAAAAGATACTTTATTTAGGTGAAAACTTGAGTATCTAGGCCACGAGTGTCTGAATTAACAAAATCTACATTGACCAGATAAAATATATAGTTATCCTGAAAACACTGTAGATACACATATTGGACGTTCTAGGGGTTGTACAAGTGCAATATGCAAATTGTACTTAGTACATATAAAAGTATGTTTATTCATTGCTTGAGCCATATTGACATTCTCAATTCACAGACATTTTGAGTACAATACTTATGTAATACATCTGATTGTTATGTGTACAATAGACATACATTTTACTAAAAGCTTGTCACATTTTGTATAGATACACATAATACATTTTGAATTATAGTCAACTTTCCTTCTCCAATACGAGTTCAGTCAAATGGACTGACCCGATGAACATTCGGTTAAATGCTGAAAGCTTGCTAAGTATTAGAAACCAATAGGCTTAACATTTATGTTAATCATGAATAAATTAAGAAGAATGTGGAAAAACATCAACAATTTTTTTTTTTTATTACTAAATTCAATGAGCAACAACTGCAGAAGCCAGATGTTGAGGCCCTAGCCAGCTTGGCAACCAAATAAGTTAAAGCGAAGATCTCAATATCCCCATTCTTAGATACCACATTAGTAAAGGAAGGTTTTAATTATACTTGTCATCAAACTTAGTGTTATTATAATTACTTTAGTAGTCATTAGATATTAGTATTCGGCTTATTACATTTTCTAACACTGCATTCTTTATCTATTCACTCAGATTTAGAAGAATGTATAATAAAACTATTTAAAACACACTATGTTTGCCACTACATTCAAGCCATCTGTGATTTAGAATCTTTCCAGTTACCATGCTAATGAAAGAATGAGAGGTGTGGTTATTTGTTGTGTCCCAGCCAACTTTGAGGTCTGGATTGAGTGAAACACCATCAGCAAACTGGCAGTCTATATCCAGCCTGCTAAGGTATTTTATTCACCTCCCTTTTAAGTTTTATTTTATTTTGGACAAACTGAAGCTGTGACTAGCCTCTCCGCACGGTTTCCCGACCCCACCTCTCGAACTAACATCGCCTCAGCACGTCACAACAATTACACACTCACGAAGTATAACAGCACACGCGTGGGGTTGAAGGGGAACAAACGTTCCCGAGCACCCCAGTTGGAAAGAAAGAACTTCGTTCTTTCTTCCTTCAAACTAAACCCCTGCCACGTTGCGTTTTTTTTTTTGGACAAACTGAAACCATGACCAAGCAAACCAGTTCTGTGATGGTTCCGAGATCTTTCTTCAAACGTTAACTCTGCTATTTATTCAAAACTGTATACTTAACCAAGGGTTTGTAATAGACAGTAGGATATGAAATTTAAATTAACCAACTATTGTGAATATACTGTACCCAGACTAAACTCTTAAGTAAGAAACTGGCCCATGCGTATAAAGAAGTTGGCCAATCCCATTGTAAAACCTCAAAATCTTCCTAATGATTATTCAACGAAAATTCAAGAATAACCAAATAAATCTTCAGCAATCAAACTGTTTAATTGAAAATACTTCTATTATTCATACTAAAAATAAACTCAGCTTATTTTCAACTTCCCTACCAATATAATTAATTAATCTGTTTAACTCTGAACTTTTAAAATCAATAAATTTCCCCACTTTTATCTTCACTCAGCTTAAATAGCTTGTAATATTCTTTTAGAATTTTTATCAAACATCTAATTTTCAACCTTCTATAAAAGAGAATATTTGGTTTGTCAAGGCTGTCTTTGCACGCACACCCAACCATCACCTGAAAACATCTGTCCTCCTTAAACCATCTGAGCAGTTTACCTATTAATCCAAACAACTCGCATCTGAGAGAAGATAACACAATTCAGGTTTAACTACTTTTTAGGGTCCAATATCCAAGAGTGTTGTAACAGAAATTCAAACTTGAATATTACGTTAGTTTAAGCTACAGTAGTCTACCTTTTCAACAAACATATTTTATTACAAGTTACAGCTTTTACAGTAAGGAAGAATTTTTAAAACAGGTATGACATTTCAATCACTGGTGCGATCATTCTCAAGATCACAAGTTATTTTGTTTTTGATAATTGTTGCACCAATGATTGAAATGTCATACCTGTTTTAAAAATTCTTCCTTACTGTAAAAGCTGTAACTTGTAATAAAATAATACATATAATCAGCAAGTAAACTCGAAAGAAATTTATGTTATGTTACGAGTTGTAAGTTCTGCAGTTATCTGCCTCATGATGCATTATAAGTTTAATTATTTTCAATATTTATTAGATTGACTACATAGATTTTGTTTGTTATTCTGATAGCTGTAATGGTGACTGTGAACTTTATATCTGTTAAATACTCCCACTACCTTTCTGTTAACCGTCATCTTTCTTGTGCCATTAAAGTAAACTTTTATGAGAACCCTCTCAGTAGCACATCTAAATAAAATAAGTCACGACACAGTGGTACACAAATCACAACCATGCTGCTAATAGTATAGCTAACATAATTTCATGATGTATTTACAGATAGACCGATAAGTTCAAGAAACACGTTTTTCTCTGTATACAAATCACAAGTTTGAACTTATGACATTTTTGGTCTCATTATCTAAGAAGGGAAAAGACTTGGAGAACAATTCCTGGGATGATAGGATAATTTCTCCTAAATCATTTTCCTTTCAGACAAGAAAGGTAATATTTAAGGCCCATAGTTTAATAGGATTACATGGCTGTAGCTTTCACGCATACTTTACATATGACCATGTAATTAGTAGTTAACTGTACAATGACTGTATAATTAAAAACTGAGTTTTTAATGTATTAAAGTCAAGTCTTGGATCAATGTCACCAGATTTATAAATTAGTCATGGCTTTGTTTCTACCAGCCAGCCAGACAGACTGATTAATGGTCTGACAGAACATTTTTAGAACGTAGTAAAGTTTGTTGTTGTTACTTCATTAGATACGTGTTAAATTGACGGTGTAATTGCATTAATTACGTCTTTCATCCTCTTTGCTGTTATTGTTTTAAGCTGTTCTTATTTCATGGAAGGGATTGCATAATCTAATATTTTGCCACATAATTTTTGTATTTTCTTTCGTACACCAGCAATATCATGGTGTATATTTTCAAACTGTTGGCTGCATGATTTTAATTTATTTATTTGTTTACTCGTATCATCACAGTCCTCTCTTCCTGAAGGACACAAAAATATCATAGAGATTGATAGGATAAAGGTCACCGATTTCTTTGAGCTATGCTCTGAAGAAGAATACAACCTTATAAATCGGAAATGACAGGCTAGAATCCAGTTCTATTTTTCTAACAGTGTTAATGTCTTATGAATAAGATGCTGTTGGCACTATGGAGGCTTTACATGAACTTATGAGAGGAACTGATGATTTCCTGAAAAAAAATAAGGGGCATGTTTAATTTTTTTCTTTTCTGAAGGCTCAATGTATAAGGAAAGACTTGAAAGTAGAACAAAATGGTCTACATGATATGATTTGTCTTTTTTTTTTCTCATTAACAAACCAGTTCCCATTTCCAAAGCCATCAACTCGAACAACAAGACATGCTTACCACAGCCACGAGCAGATTTTATCTAACGTTCCAAGTCCCTTAATGATGAAATTATACCTATATGTTTTCTCTTGCTTCGAGTCCATTTAAAGAACAATCTATCAGCTATTTTTAAAAATCGGTGTAAATATCAATTACAATTTCTTAACTAATTTCCAAAAGAAATAACTTTCATGTAACATAATGGTTATACCAGCTTGCTACGACAGTATTTAGTTACTATAACATACAAACACTTTTATTATGGTCATTTCTGCTTATAATTTCTAAATACACAAACCTCTGACGACATGGTGTAGGCTCCTTTCAGTACCAGTTTTAAAATCATAGAATCTTGTGTGGCATCAAAAGGAAAGGTCCCGGAAAGAAGAATAAATGATATGACCCCAACTGCCCACATGTCCACGGCACACGTATAGGGTCGACGAGCTACTATTTCTGGGGCAATGTACTGTGGTGTACCACAAACTGTATGCATGTACATGTCTCCGTTTGGTTTGCGAGTACTTGCAAATCCAAAATCTGTTATCATTATACGTGAATCATTACCTGGGTGATAATACAGAAGGTTGTCAGGTTTCAAGTCTCGATGTGTAATACCTAGACTGTGAAGATAGCTCACCCCATTCAACATCATTTGCAGCACTTGAGCTGCTTCAGATTCCATGAAATACCCATGAGCTTCAATCCTGTCTAGGAGATTACCACCTGTTGCTAATTCCATTACCATGTATATTTTTTCATTGCTTTCAAACACTTCTATTAGTCGAATAACATTTGGATGGTTAACCCTTCTTAATACTGATAACTCTGCTTCGAAAACCTCTCTTCCTCCTGGGGCTTCAATCATTTTGATCGCATAAGGTTGTTTTGTAATTCTGTGTTCAACACGAACTACGCGACTAAAAGTACCTTTTCCTATAACAGCTTTGATGTTATATCTTGCTGTGATCCGAGGGTCATACACAGTTTTTGAGTGGGATCGCTTAACGTGGTTAGTTCTTCCTGTCCTACGTTTTTTCCTACCGGTTCTACCACCCCGCGGGCTTTCGGGCCCAGTTCCTTGCCGGCGAACTCCGCCACTTTGTTGACGTTTTTTATTTGTAGACGTCTTGATACTTTTTTCTTTCGAATAATTTACTTCAAAGACTGGCTTTATTGTATTTCCACAAAAATTGTTGTCAAACTCTACTTCTTTTTCAAGTTTACTGTCTCTACAACCCATGATGATTAAGGGTTACATTCATCAAATACATAAGTTTTGAAACAGAAGAAACAACGATTTAAAAGTTGGTAAGGCTTACTGCAACAACAACACAGGCCTAGCTAACTGTATTACAGATTAATACAATACAAAACAACTAAACCATAAACACTTTCACGTCCTCTAGACAAACCTAGACGTATACCTTGCCCAACTTGATGGTACTATAACCATTTCTTCACTCAATCTAATAATTTAGTGGGTTTTTTTTCTAACCGAACACGCCATCTCACTATTACTGATCATACATATAGATAGCCCCAGGCCGTTCCACTGCTACGGCTACTACAAGTAGTCGCTTCTATTTAATGGCGTACTTGGTTTATCTGGCGCTTGATTGGTCAGAAATTACATACGCAGAACTTATCAGAAAAGGGGATTGACTCTCGCAGAAAACAAGTGAATTAAATTTGCTAAATCGGAAACTAAAATATCTCATAATAAGTAACTTTTTGTGTAATAATTATTATCATTTTAACTTTTCAACTGTCAAAAGTTATACGGACATAACTTAATCAATTCATTATATGTTCATATTTTCTAACAACACAGAAACTGCACCCTTTATGAGATTACTTTTCTGAGATAATATGGCAAAAATAGCATTTTGTTACATTTGGTTTTTAGCGCAAAACAACAAAATGGAGTATCTATACTCTGTCAACAGCAAGGAATCGAACCACAGGTATTAGTGTTTAAGCCTGTTACTACTACAAAGCTGTTGTGCTTCAAATGAAAACATATAATTAACTCACAATTTATGTAAGCATTGATCAGTTACTGACGGTCAGGTGTAATAAATGTCTACTAGTTTTTGTTTTCTTTCTTTTTTGGGGGGGGGGGTGAACATGCTATTTAGTTATAACATTGCCTATATTTATTGTGAAGAGTCAGAGCCTTAGGGTAATTTAGGCAACGAATAAATCATACATGTATATAATGTACATGCGAGTTTCTCTGCGATATTACAAAACCTTTTGGTGAGTTATTTGAAAAAGATTTTCCGAATTTATGTAATTCCTGTTTTTAATATACTATGGTGTAACATATTCGTTTGCATGCGAATAAAACATATAAAATTAATTAAATGAATCTGTACCGAAAAACCCACAATATTTTAAATCAAAACCCTATATAAAATCGATTAATTTAGTTAGTAATTATATTTCTTTACCCCATGCTTTATGTTTTACCTGTACACAGTCTCATAGTTGTAATTATATCAGACATAATGTGCACCGAGAATTGATTGATATGACATATACACACACACATATATATATATATATATATAAGCGAACTTTCAAGTTTAAGATTGATTTATGTTGAGATAACTAAGATGTATAGAAATTGATTAATTTAAGACTTACGTAATTTGAATAAATCCTGGTAGGGAAACATTATTACTATTAGTAAATTATAAACTTAAATAACGATGAATTGATTAAAATCAAAAATTCTAAAAACTGTAGCATGTACTTATAAGTTATACATTCTACAACACACCAGAACAACTTACTGAATGCATACTTTCCCTAAGAATTAAAACAGGTTGATAATCTCTAAACAATGTCAAAGAGCCTTACTTTCATTTCATTCTTGCTATAGAACTTAAATTTAAAAGTTGATAGTCTATGTCTGAATGCTAGAACAGAGGCCTAACTCACTTTGTGTACCTCATGACGATAACCTAACTCGTTAAAAGCCCTCTCATCATACTCACACGTTTCAAATTGACTCTTTCTCAAATCATCTGTAGTATCAGTATCGATATAAATTACTCTTATCTTTTCTTTTAAAAAATTTGGCTTGTCCAATACTTATGAAAAAAGAACGCCTTTAAAAACGGCGTTTAACTGCCAAATTTCGAATGCTTAATATAAAAAAATGGTAATTATGCAGATGATAACTCAGCATCCATTAAAAACTTCCTTCGCAAAAAACCTCAGTTACACAAAATAAAATAATAAGATATTTTGATAAACCATATTAGATAGTATGAGTATTATATTTTCTAAAGTTTTTGTAAAATGTTTTAAAACTTTGAGTGAATCCGTGATGAGAAAGTTAACTATAAGTTTCTTACTGCTAGTGTGATATTTTCAGATCAAACTGATTTCTCGACAAGTTTCTCTGATAGAAATACCCGTGAATAACGCTACATTCGGCCCAGTGATTTTGAGTAAACTTTCCAGATGGGAATATTCAACTGAGTGTTCGGAGTTAGTGCGATGATAGTATCTTGGACGCTTTAAGTAAAATGAATAACATCTTTATTTATTGCAACACAAAAACACTGAAATCTGAAGTATCCACGGGCGAATACGGACAGTACGGAAGTTACCTCAAAACTAAAAATGCTGAGATCGAAAGGTCCTCTTTCTACAAAAACTGGGAGTAAAACGAATACAAAGAAAGCGCCTGGGTTTCAAACATCAGGTTGTTTTACTTGTGTATGGAAGCATATTATGTTAATATAATAGTAAAGTGACAAACAACGATTTATAAGCATAATGAAGTTGTTTGATTCTGGGGGGGGGGGCATACACTATGTTTATTCACATAGCTTTCGTTTACAGCCTTTCAGGTTTGACTAGCCTTCACCTTGTTATTAGCTATAATCCTGTCGCTAGGTGATAACATTCCTTAACATTAAACTCTAGCGTTTTTTGTCTTTGCACTTGTATATAAGCCCTAAAGGCTTAGCTGTAGGTCATACACAGATCAATGTTCTGCCGAAACACGTAGTATGTTCTCTAAAATATAACCATTTCATTATTCTCACAACTCGTTGTTTGTTGTTGCTATTGCAGACAGCATCACCTCATGACCTCTATTCTCTGATAACATTGGCCACCTATCAGTTTTAGTTGAAGTCATGGTTCGGCCAACAAAGTATATTATAGTTCTAAGAAGTTGTAATCCATGTACAAAAGAACAAAGCAAAGAGCTGAGTTGGTTAGAACAAAATAATATCAGACACCTTGGACCACTTGTTTCAGCCACAATAGAGCGATAACTAAATAATGATTAATTAATATATATATATATCACTGTAGATAGTAGGGGGAACACGGTATTCCTGCATCACACTAGGAAGGATCATAGATAGCGAGCTAATTTATCTTAATAGAAATGTATAATCAATTTTATTTGAGAGAAATATTCATAAATTTCAATATGTATATATATATACGCATCTGGTACAAATATGTTGCTTCATATATTTAAACCATTATTGTTTAGTTTTTCGTTATATGCTAAAGAAAGTAATGTATTGTTTGCTAAAGAAAGTAATGTAATTCATCTGAATTATTATTATAATATCTTGCCATTCTCAACTTAGATAATGAATCAAAACCTACTGTTTCCTTAGTTGTAGACTTGGGATGGGTTTGTTTGTGGTTAAGCATATAAAAGCTACACGATGGGCTATCTGTGCTGTGCCCATCGCAGGTATCAAAACCAGATTTTTTAACGTTATAAGCCTTCAGGCTTAGCGTCAAGCCACTGGAGATTTATGAGGTTTTGAGTACTTTTCAGTTTATTATACGATAACTTAAATTAATTTAGGTGTGTGAGTAATGTTATAACATTGCGACTGATTTATTATACAGTAACTTAAATTAATTTAGGTGTGTGAGTAATGTTATAACATTGCGACTAATTTATTATACAGTAACTTAAATTAATTTAGGTGTGTGAGTAATGTTATAACATTGCGACTAATTTATTATACAGTAACTTAAATTAAGTTAGGTGTGTGAGTAATGTTATAACATTTGCGACTAATTTATTATACGGTAACTTAAATTAATTTAGGTGTGTGAGTAATGTTATAACATTGCGACTAATTTATTATACGGTAACTTAAATTAATTTAGATGTGTGAGTAATGTTATAACATTGCGACTAATTTATTATACAGTAACTTAAATTAATTTAGGTGTGTGAGTAATGTTATAACATTGCGACTAATTTATTATACAGTAACTTAAATTAATTTAGGTGTGTGAGCAATGTTATAAGATTGCGACTAATTTATTGTTCGATGGTAAAAAATTATCAAATTGTATCTTATATACATAAAACCATTAAAGACTTGGAAATTGTTGACAATTGCATATGTGTTAGTTAGTGAACCAAGAAATAACTCAGTAAAAATGAAGTGCCAGTGTAAATATTATATTCAACGAAGTTAGACGAACAAAATGAGCACATAATATCTCAGCTTAAATGATTCACATTTTTAGTACATTACAACGATATAAAAACATCATCACCAGACCTGCCGAGTCTCTAGAAATTTGGACCAATCTCTCGGAAGTTTTTAAAAATCTCCCGGAAATCATTTTTCAAAAACAATTTTTTTTTTACTAAAATCCATTCAAACAACGCACTAGCTTTTCGATATCGCTATGATTTACAATCGATATACACAGTCCGCAGTAGTATCATGAGTGCTGCCCCTTCGTATCCCTGCCGCCAGAGCAGGCTACGGTTACCAACGCTTAAAATGAAAATTTCTGAGGGGAGCCGATTGGTAACAGCGCCAAATTGTTCTAACGGAGTTGCAAACATGGCGGACAGGGACTAGCAGTCACAATCTGATACTGATACGACCGATACAGATAACGAGCCTTTCAGAAAGCGTTTTAGACTTCTAAACTTAAAAAAAAAAGAAAATCCGAGGGATATATCCCCGGACCCCACTAGTAAGCTACGCCTCCCTGTTCAACTTGGCAGATTTGCATCATTATAATCTCTATGCTTTCATATATATATAACATTATACATTATATTTACGTTGTAAAGTTTTCCTGTAGATGTCGTCCTCTTTGGGATATCTAATTGGTTAATGTAAATAGCAGAGAATTTTTGGAGAGGAGCCTTGTTACTTGTTTCGATTACAGGCATAAACAGATATAATTTAACGCCATCTGTTCTCCATATGCTTGCAATATAATCAATATATACATTGAGTTCAATGAGTTATGGAAATTTAACTTATACTGTCAAGACGGTCAACTCAGCTCTTGAGGTACAATGAGAAAGGCTAACCAGAGCGCTCCAAGCGGCAGGTTTGATAGAGAGCATACACATACAATACCTCACTAGTTATATCGCCAAAAGTTAAAAAATAATGTGTAATATCATTCCAAGTTTGGATTTATGTATTTAATTAATTACTGATTGCCAAAAAAAATTCCCCAATTTAAATCATGGACTCTACTCCAATTAGTTAGGAGTAAACCTGTTGTCCACAGAGAAAACCATTCGAAGAAGCTGAC